ATAGTCTGAGGGACAAAGTCTAACTAACCCAAAAATGAAATAGAAAAAACAACGCGTTTTCGCAAAGATCAATCCACTGACTCCTTTTCTCTCTCATCATTTCTCTCTCTCCCCCCTTCTCTCTGTTCACAAGAACCAGACCCAAAATTAGGGTTCGGGTTAAGTTTTTCCTGAACCAAAACCCACTCCTGCGCTGCGTCAACTTGAGAGAGACGACTTGCTCTGTAAACAAAAACTTGAGAGAGACGAAAGTTAAGCGTTTTCAATAGGACTTTTTATTGGATCCTGTTGCGGTTTCAATAATGGTTGGCTGTTCTGCTGTGATCAAATGGTACCATCTTCGCAAACCTTTAAAGCTGTTGATTCTCTTCTGGGTCATTGTTACAGCTGAAAGCTTCGTCTTTTCGAGCTCCGATGCAGACAAATCAGCTCTCTTGGAGTTCAAGAGCTCAATCTCAGATTCGTCTGGAATGCTATTGAACTGGAATTCGAGTAATTCTTATCATTGTTCATGGATGGGAGTTTCATGTGATTCCAACTCTCGGGTTGTGGCTCTGAATATTACCGGTGGAGGTAATTCTGGTTCTTTATCTTGTGATAAGTTTGCTAAATTTCCACTATATGGGTTTGGAATTAGAAGAGCTTGTTGGGATAATAGAAGAAAATTGGTGGGTAAGCTTTCCCCGTCAATTGCAAAGCTTAAAGAACTTAGGGTTTTGTCTCTTCCATTCAATGAATTGAATGGTGAAATTCCTGTGGAAATTTGGGGCATGGAAAAGTTGGAAGTTCTTGATCTGGAAGGGAATTCAATTAGTGGGTCTTTGCCAATTCGTTTCGCTGGTCTGAGGAACTTACGGGTTCTTGATTTGGGCTTTAATGAGATTGTTGGGGAGATTCCGAATTCATTATCTGACTGTATGGGCCTGCAAGTCTTGAATTTGGCTGGGAATCGGGTGAATGGGACAATTCCAAAGTTTGTTGCTGGTTTTAGAGATTTGAGGGGCCTTTATTTGTCGTTTAATCGATTTGCAGGGTCAATTCCGAATGAAATCGGGGACAATTGTGGGAAACTTGAGCATTTAGAACTCGCTGGCAATTTCTTGCTTGAAAGGATTCCGAGTAGTTTGGGGAATTGTAGCAGGTTACGGTCGCTTCTTTTGTATTCTAATATCCTTGAAGAGGTTATTCCCGTTGAACTTGGTCAGTTGAGCCAACTTGAAGTGTTGGATGTGTCAAGGAACACCCTCAGTGGTCCGATACCTCTTGAGCTGGGAAATTGTTCTGCATTATCTGTTCTTGTGCTGTCGAATGTGTTGGATCCTCTTCCTGCTATTGGTAGTTCAAACGCAGATCCTTCATCTGAGCAATTGACATATACTACGGAAGAATATAATTTCTTTGAAGGCGGATTGCCTACGGAAATTACTACACTCTCCAAACTTAAGATATTGTGGGTGCCAAGGGCAATTCTGGATGGAAAGTTTCCAAGCAATTGGGGTGCTTGTGACAGTTTGGAGATGGTTAATTTAGCTCAGAATTCTTTCAATGGAGAAATCACTGAGGGGTTTAATAATTGCAAGAGGCTGCATTTCCTTGATCTGAGCCTGAACAGGCTGACCGGGGAGCTTGTCAACAAACTTCCAGTTCCTTGTATGACTTTGTTTGATGTCAATGGTAATCTTCTCTCAGGTTCAATTCCCATGTTTGATTATGGCATTTGCCCTCACATGCCATCATTAAATGCATATGCTGTTGAAGCCCAAGATCCCTCATCGGTCTATCTGCCATTTTTGGCGTACTTAACTCAGGTTGAGTCCCCTTTGCCATCATTTGGAGATGGTGGTAATCTTGCCATAACTCATAATTTTGGTGATAACAACTTTACTGGTGCTTTGGGGTCAATCCCTATTGCACCTGAAAGATTAGGGGAGCAGACTATTTATGCATTTCTTGCAGGTTGTAACAAGTTTACTGGATTATTTCCTGAACAGTTATTTGACAAGTGTGACAAATTGAAAGCAATGATTGTTAATGTCAGCAGCAACAAATTATCTGGTCACATTCCCATGGAAATTGGTTCCCTTTGCAGATCTCTCAAACTTTTGGATGCCTCTCGCAATCAGATTTCTGGAACCATTCCTGATAGTATTGGGGATTTGGTGTCTCTTGTTGCTCTTAATTTTAGTTGGAACCTGGTGCAAGGTGTGATTCCAAGCAATCTTGGCAAGATAAAGGGTCTTAAGTATCTTTCTTTAGCTGGCAATAACCTGACTGGCTCCATTCCTACAAGCTTGGGGCAGTTGCACTCTTTAGAAGTGCTTGAACTTTCTTCAAACTCTTTCTCTGGTGGTATTCCAAAAGATCTTGTGAACTTGAGGAACATGACTGCTCTACACCTCAACAACAATAAACTCTCGGGGCAGATTCCTACTGGTTTTGCAAGTTTGACCACACTCTCGGGATTCAATCTGTCCTTCAATAATTTGTCTGGACCACTACCATTGAATAGTAATTTGACGAAATGTAGTGGTGTCCTTGGAAATCCTTTTCTGCAGTCTTGTCATATGTTTTCTTTGGCATCAACATCTTCGGATCCGCAGGGGAGTATGGGGGATTCACAGAATTCCGCTGCTTCTCCATCAACAAGTCCAAACCAGAAAAGTGGGAATAGTGGTTTCAATTCAATTGAGATTGCGTCCATAGCATCTGCATCAGCCATTGTGTCGGTTCTTCTTGCTCTCGTTGTCCTCTTCTTCTACACCAGAAAATGGAATCCGAGATCCAGAGTTCAGGGTTCTGTCAGAAAGGAAGTTACAGTATTCACCGACATTGGGGTTCCATTGACATTTGAGAATGTAGTTCGGGCCACAGGAAGCTTCAATGCAAGCAATTGCATTGGAAATGGAGGTTTTGGAACTACGTACAAGGCTGAGATTTCTCCAGGAGTGTTGGTAGCAATAAAGCGGCTTGCTGTTGGACGATTCCAAGGGGTTCAGCAGTTCGATGCTGAATTAAAAACTTTGGGGAGGCTTCACCATCCTAATCTTGTGACCTTGATAGGTTATCATGCGAGTGAAACTGAGATGTTTCTTATATATAATTATCTGCCAGGTGGTAATTTGGAAAAATTTATCCAGGAAAGATGCACAAGGGCTGTGGATTGGAGGATACTCCACAAGATTGCATTGGATATAGCCCGTGCACTTGCCTATTTACATGACCAGTGTGTACCCCGTGTTCTTCATCGTGATGTCAAGCCCAGTAATATATTGTTGGATGATGAGTACAACGCATATTTGTCGGACTTTGGATTGGCCAGGCTCCTGGGAACTTCAGAAACCCATGCCACGACGGGTGTGGCAGGAACGTTTGGGTATGTTGCTCCTGAATATGCGATGACATGTCGTGTTTCTGACAAAGCTGATGTCTATAGTTATGGGGTGGTGCTGCTTGAATTAATCTCAGACAAGAAGGCACTGGATCCTTCATTTTCTCCTTATGGCAATGGTTTTAACATTGTGACATGGGCATGCATGCTGCTGCGACAAGGCCGTGCCAAGGAGTTCTTCACTGAGGGGTTGTGGGATGCAGGTCCCCATGATGATCTAGTCGAAGTTCTACACTTGGCGGTTGTGTGCACCGTTGATTCTCTCTCTACCAGGCCTACAATGAAGCAAGTTGCGAGACGGTTGAAGCAACTTCAACCCCCATCATGCTAGCTTTCCTATGGAAGGCATCAATTGATTGACATAGCAGAGTGTAGACGGCAAGCCCAGTTGTAATTTGTGTGGCCTCGCACTTTTATGGCACAAGTGCTCTTGGGTGTCAGTCCGAGTGGCCGTTAGGATTCGGGTCTATATTATAGCTGCTTGTAAATGGTAGTATAGTTTTGCGCCCTTTTTTCGCTGTTGTTTTCCCTATTAGGGGGCCTCACTGATGGATCTGCAGAAGAATGCAGATATTTGTCCTCGACGTTGTATACTTGTTTCTCATCCCTATTTGTTGTTGTTGTTGTTGTTGAATAAAAGCAAAGAATAGAAGTGTTTCTGAGAAGCTAGTCTTAAGTGCTTACTTGAATTGTGTGATTGTGTAGTAGCATTAGTGTGTACAAAATTGAAAACAAAAAGGAATTTAAAAAAGCTAGAACTTTTTAGACAAATGCAACTTTTTGTTCCTACTCTTTTCTTGCAGCCAGGCCATACTCTTTTAAATCTGGACAAATTCTGCTTGTGGGAGATGCTGGAAGTTTTCCTGGTCAATTCATTAAAGCCTTGGGAGGGTGAGAGAATAGAACCATATAGGCATTCACAGCTTAAGTTTGTCAATAGATCAAATTTTGATCCGAATCTGATTAATTTTGATCCAAATTTGATTAGTCAGATATGAATTAATAATTTTTATCAATTATTCAAATTGGAATCCAAATATGTTACGTTATATATAATGGATTCGAATTTGATATATCAAATTCGATTCAAATTATATATATACCCTCTATTTTTATATTTTCTATTCCGTGAGTTTATATCCACCCACATCTTTTCACCTCCCACATTTTTTTTCCGTCTTCTTCATTTTTAACTAAAATTGAGGTTAACATATTAGTTTATGCTGCTTGTTAACCTAGTGACATTTATTACAATTTGTGAGATATTCAAAAGTTAATTTTACTTTGTAAATAAATAGATTTGATCAAATTTTCGGAGCAAATTTTCAAAAAAGTCAATAGATTCAAATATAGATTAAAATTTTCAAATCCGTCAGACAATCGAATCGGATCACATAAATTGTAATTGAATTCGGATTCAAAAATGACAATCCAGTCTATATCTGATCGGTTGACACACCTATTCACAACCAATCCATAAGGGGTACCTGCGAACAACGCTCTGAAACAGAAACCAATGTATAGGATATGAAAATTTCACATTAAAATTGAAATTACAATTTTTGTTTTTTACCTCACCCCTTTTCTTGAAGGGTTGGCACGAATCCTAGCATTACAAGAAAGGAGAAGGGTTAACAACTATATGCTTCAGGGGGTGCGCCACTTCACCACCGCCGGCATGCTTTACGAAATCGGCCGGAGAGAGAGAGCTGCCATGACAGACACACACAATCTTCACTTCCTCCCCCTTCCTATATCTGTATAGAAAACCTTCTATTCTTTTACCATTTGGTCCGTCCCCTTTTGTAGTCACACAAGGCATGTCAGCCGTCATATTCCTCACCATTTCCTTTGCTTCCTTGTCAGCAACTTCGACTTTCATAGATCCATCCTTCGACGCAGCACCAGCAAACTGGACTATGGGTTTCTGTTGAATCGGTTGAGGCAGAGACTGGACGCTGACAAGGGTTCTCATTTTGGTGTGTTTGTCTGCTCCTGTATATGTGACTCACAAGAGATTAGACTACAAACAATGTTAGGAGAAAAGGATTAGCTAACGTTCCAGAATCACACAGGTTAATATGCTGTTTGTATAAATAGAAAAAGTTGTCTATGAAAGTTTAGAAAGAAACATTGAATAAGCATTCTGATATGAGGTGCTTAAATGTATCTTGGAAAGGGAAAAGGTAGAGATTAAAAAATGAAAAAAGTAAACCATTTTGGACCAGATCCTCTGTAAATACAAGAACACTGCTACATTAAGATCGAACTAGTACCATACTAATACCCGACAACGGCCTCATCATTCGTGGGACAAAAATGTCTAGATCAATCTCCCAATTAACAACTATAACTTTACTCTTGAAACAACAATGAAGTTATCCAAACCAATCCCACCAAATATATTTCTAACTTCTCTTGTTTGGGTTGTTTTTTTTTTTTGGGGGGTGGGGGGGTTGCATTTCCCGCATCGTGCACTTCTGGCCATCATTGTACTCATGCATTCTTTTGATCACCTCAAGTCTCCAAGCATCTATAATCTACTGCATATCAAAGAACCCCTATTTCATATCTTCTTTGACCCTAAAATCTAGAAATTCTTGAAAAACATCTGCATAATACATTTAGAACGAATTTTGGGCTCTAACCCAGTTCAATATATATTAACATCACTTCAGACAATATAGATCAAAAGCAATACAGCACTGTAAGTTCAAATCTTGAGAACCATCCTACATTTGCCTATGACCGGACCGGGAAGAGGATTAGGTTGAACCGAAGACTATATTTGCCCATTCTCAGCACATTTTCTTTAGACAAAAGACTCCATTTTTTCTACCCCCACACCCAACCCCAAAAACAAACACAAAAAATGAACATATTTAACCAAAAAAAATATGAATCATTAGGAAAACATATTCCAAAGTACTTTACCTGCAGAAAAATCAAAAGCACATAGATACAACAAAATCGGGGAAATAAAATAGAAAGGTAAACTTTGAAACCGAGATCCAGATTAAACTGTATAATCAAAGATCAAACCAGAAAATGGAAAAAAAAAAATCTAACAAGTGAAAACAACGAAGCTGCAACTAGGCGAGAACTAGTACGATTTTCACGTATCTACAACTAGAAATACACGCTGTATAATAGGGATACTATTGCAATATCGCATTTTTCTTGAAGCTTTTAGTAAAGAAAAGAGGGAACCCCACAAATAGTAACCGTAGGATACCTTGAATCTGTT